CAGAGAAATGGTAGGAAAATCAGTAAACGAGATGATGGAATATGTGGCAACAACGTGCAAGGAGGTAGAGGAAAGTTTTTTTCCCAAGGGAAACAGAAATAATAGGAAGACCAAAACGAGTCCTTGGTTTACTCGAAGGTGTAGGGAGGCAAAAACTAAGTGCAACAGAGAATGGAAAAGGTACAGGAGGCATAGGGCCCAGGAAAACAAGGAGATTAGTAGAAGAGCCAGAAACGAGTATGCACAGATAAGGAGGGAGGCCCAGCGACAGTATGAAAACGACATAGCATCGAAAGTCAAATCTGACCCGAAACTGCTGTATAGCCACACTAGGAGGAAGACAACAGTCAAGGACCAGGTGATAAGGCTGAGGAAAGAAGGTGGAGAACTCACAAGAAACGATCAAGAGGTATGTGAGGAGCTCAACACGAGATTTAAGGAAGTATTTACAGTAGAGACAGGTAGGACTCTGGGGGGACAGACCAGATGGGGACACCAGCAAGGAATACACCAACAAGTGTTGGAAGACATACATACAGATGAGGAGGAGGTGAAGAAACTGCTAAGGGACATCGATACCTCAAAGGCAATGGGACCAGATAACATCTCCCCGTGGGTCCTTAGAGAGGGAGCAGATATGTTGTGCGTGTCACTTACCACAATCTTCAACACGTCCCTGGAAACTGGGCAACTATCTGAGGTATGGAAGACGGCAAATGTAGTTCCCATTTTTAAAAAAGGAGACAGAAAAGAGGCACTAAACTATAGACCTGTGTCATTGACGTGGATAGTATGCAAAATTATGGAGAAGATTATCAGGATGAGAGTGGTGGAGCACCTGGAACTGAACAAGAGTATAAATGCCAACCAGCACGGATTCACGGAAGGCAAATCCTGTGTCACAAACCTTTTGGAGTTTTATGATAAAATAACAGAAGTAAGACACGAGAGAGAGGGGTGGGTTGATTGCATCTTCTTGGACTGCAAGAAGGCCTTTGACACAGTTCCTCACAAGAGATTAGTGCAGAAGCTAGAGCATCAGGCGCATATAACAGGAAGGGCACTGCAATGGATCAGAGAATACCTGACAGGGAGGCAACAACGAGTCATGGTACGTAATGATGTATCACAGTGGGCACCTGTGACGAGCGGGGTCCCACAGGGGTCGGTCCTAGGACCAGTGCTATTTTTGGTATATGTGAACGACATGATGGAAGGGTTAGACTCAGAAGTGTCCCTGTTTGCAGATGATGTGAAGTTAATGAGGAGAATTAATAATCTGATGAGGACCAGGCAGGACTTCAAAGAGACCTGGACAGACTGGACACCTGGTCCAGCAAATGGCTTCTCGAATTTAATCCTGCCAAATGCAAAGTCATGAAGATAGGGGAAGGGCACAGAAAACCACAGACAGAGTATAGGCTAGGTGGCCAAAGACTGCAAACCTCACTCAAGGAGAAAGATCTTGGGGTGAGTATAACACCGAGCATGTCTCCGGAAGCACACATCAATCAGATAACTGCTGCAGCATATGGGGGCCTGGCAAACCTGAGAACAGCATTCCGATACCTTAGTAAGGAATCGTTCAAGACACTGTACACCGTGTATGTCAGCCCATATGGAGTATGCAGCACCCGTTTGGAACCCGCACTTGATAAAGCACTCAAGAAACTAGAGAAAGTACAAAGGTTTGCGACAAGGTTAGTTCCAGAGCTAAGGGGGAAAGTCCATGAAGAAAATTTAAAGGGGAAACGGCCACGACCTGGAGGACAGGAGGGTAGGGAGAATGATAACGACATAAAAATCTGCTGGAAAGACAATGGACAAAGACAGGTGTTCCAGGGAGGGGGCACAGAAACAAGGGCCCAAAATTGGGGGGTAAGACCAAATATCAAGAATATTAGGAAGTATTTCTTCAGCATAGTTGTAAAGGGAGTGGAATGCCTAAAAATGACGTAGTGGAGGCAGGAACCATCACAGTTTTTAAAACGAGGTTTTTTATAAACCAAGGGGCGGGGGGAGAGAGGGAGTAGCAACCGGGGAAGAGGCGGGGGCCCGGGGCTAAGACTCGACCCCTTCAACCACAAAAAATTGTGAGTAAAAAGGGGAACCGAGGCAAAAGGTTTGACAATTCACAAGAGAAGTGAGAAGCTGGGTAGGGCTTTAAAAAACCCTCAAAGGCAAGAATCCGACAGGGGGCCAAGAGAGGGGCGAAATTTTTTGTGGGCCCTTAACCCCCCATCTCAACCCCATTTTGGAAATGGAACACTGAGGAAGGAGACCAGAAGTGTCCGGGGGGAAAATTAAAAAGGAGAAAAAAGAAAAGAAAACTAAAGAACCGGCAGCGGGGCCCTGGTGCAAAAGGGGTTTCCCAAAAAAAATTTTTGAAATTAAAACAGAAGAAGGGGAGGGGCCCGGGAAAGAACAAAGGTATAAAACGCAAACCATAAGGAGAAAATCTTGGGGGGGTAAAACCACGGTTGGGAAAAATAATCAATAAGCCAGAAAAGGGGTGCAAAAAGAAACCCTTCCCAATTAGTAAGGAACGTCAAAATGTAACCTTATTCAGGCCCCAAAAGGGGGTTTCCCCCTTTTAACCCCACTGAAAAACAGCAAGAAACTAAAAATTTCAAATTTGCAATTACCCAAGGGGAATGCCTTGA